TAGTTATGGCTTAGGGAGACAGGCAGTAAATTGCACTACGTTTAGTGAAAAAAGATTCCAAATGGCTCTGTATTGAGACTTAAAGGTAATCTAGGGATAAAATTGTGCATATCTTATATACTGCAGATTTTCATCCTTGTAAAGGATGACTGAGTGACACAATGTGTTGATTCTTTCGTTATGATCATGAGATGTTCTAATGGCAGTTTTCCTAATTTTAGAACACGTACCTGGCAGGAAATGGACAACCTCTTGCATGCTGAAATTGAAAATCCCAAAATATGGGTTCAAATGCTAGAGAGGTTTAGTTACCATTTATTTATTTATTTATTTATCTATCTATATATCTATCTATCTTTTTTCTTTTTTTTTTTTTTTGCCTTGTGTTTTTCTGACCCTAATAGCACATGAGAAGTTTGGTTTAGCAAGTGAGCTATTGTTTAATCGTAAAGTCATATTTCCATTTGTAAAAAAGAAAACAGAATTTACAGCCTTACTGGAAGAGTCTCTTAGTTCTTGAAGCACGGAGAAAACACTTCATTCAGTTAAATTGCTTTGCTATAAAAAAGGAAAAAAAATCTACTAAAGCAGAAAATAAGTTATTTTGTCCCTTCATAGTAAGGCAGGGGGCATTTGATTAATAAAAATAAAGTCAAACAGACCAAAAAAAGTTGAAATCAATATTTGGTAGCTAAACTAAAATACTTACTTGTAGACCAATGCAAGAAATGATCCTCATTTTCTTTAGAACAAAATTATGTCTGTATCTATATTTTATAATACAGGTGTCATTTTAGAAATCCAGACGAGGGGCGTAGAGTTGATAACCTTAGTCCAGAATGGCTAGGTGATTCCCAGGATGTCTCTTCCTATTTTATTTTTTCTCTGTAAGTATTCTATGATTCAGGAGCACCACAGGGAAAGAAAATCCAATTTAAGGGGAGAGGACCTTGCACACTCAAGTTCTTTAGGGCAGAATGGGGCCAACTGCTAGGAACTGTGGGACGGAAGCAAGGTAAGGAGGCTTCTTTCTGATAAAATGCTACTTATCTTCAGACCCACCTGGTTTCTAGGTAAGACCCTGGAAGAGAAGAGGCACACTTTGTGTGATTTAGTGTTTCCAGCCCTACCATGCAGTGTGGGCAAAAAAGGCTGGTGGATAAATGATGGGAAGGACAGTAATTGAGATCACAGGAACACAGACAACCAGGCCAATGAAAGAAGCCGGTGATACGGAGCCAGGCAGGCCTGGGTTTGATTCTAGCTCTCCTGCCTCCTGTCCTGTGAGACCTGACATACGGTATTTCACCTACTGAGACTACGATTTCTCTCTTGCAAAGTGGGGACACTTCCTGTTGGGATTTCCAAGAGCCTGTACACCTGTCATTCACTCATGACTTCTGAACAGGCTGTGAGAGTGATGGCAATTGAATGATCAGTTTAATTTCTAATAAAGGCAGCTGGAGATACGGCTTCAAACTATGACGAACGGTCTTACGAATAGCCCTGTCCTAAGACAGTGGAGAAATGAGGAGTGATTCGGGATGTGACTTCCCTCCGATGTTTAGGAAACCCATCTGGAGAGAGAATGAGTTTTAAGCAGTAGGGCCCATCTGAACTTTTCCTAGGCTGCATTTTTTTTTGTGCCTGTAGTTTAATCGGCTAGATTAGATTAGGCCCTGGCCGGTTTCCTTATTTGAGCATCAGGGAGAAGTCCAGAGAAAAATGACACCATTTAAAAGAGCCCGTCACATATCATAGGAGAGTCAGGAAGAGACTTCTTTTAACTACTTGGAAAAGTTTAGAAGATGCCTGAAACCTTTGTACTTCCACCCTTCTCTGCTATTTTTATTGCCATCTGTCTGCTCTCCTATAATGATGAGCCAGAAAGTTCTTAAAATGGAAAGGATTTGTGTGCATATTTTTGGTGGCAACAAAGAAAACAGCCATGAGGTGACTGCTCCTGCCAAGTGGGTGAGGAACCCAAGAGGGGAGAGTGGGTTGTAGAATACTGCAGGCCACAACTCAGGAGTCTGTGGAAAGGAAAAAAAATGGCGGCATGGCTGGTTGGACATGGGGTTAGAGAGTGAATCCAGGACAGAGAAATTACCCTAGATGCTTAACAAGCAAGAGACCAATCGACCCGTTAATCCTGAACGTAGCCAGATTAAAATTAATGCTTATAGGAGCCAAGAAAATTTTTGAATGTTTCCTAATTTGAAAGCACAACGAACACTCTTTTTAGCAAATTATCTCAACATTTACAGGTAATTTGATTTGGATAAGATTTTTGGATCAAGTGAATTGAATGATGGGGAAATTAATTCATAAATCTTAGTTATCAGAAAGTGAGGATTTGTGAGTTGTTTGACAATACTCCCATATACATTAGTTTTTCCTAGATCCTTTGATTGTCGGTATTTCATCTTAAGAGTGTTAATTAAGAATGGGAAAACATTGCCCCCCCCCACCCCACTCCACAACCCCCATGACCATGACTTAGAATCCACTAAAACTTGTGGGGTAAACATCTTGCCCAAATATAAACCTTTTATGATTAAGCTAATTTACTCTTTTTAAACTGTGACATCCTGTTTATAAGAAAGAAGACTTATAAAAAGTCATCGTGAGCATAAACTAACTTCTAAAATCAACATCTTAGTGAATGTAAGTGTTAAGTGAGTCACAACTATTTGGATGAAGATTTTCTGGTTTTGAAAGAGAAAGTACTTGGAAAAAAATGTCATTTTGGTTTTATTGAAATGGAAACATTTGAAAAATAGAATTCACTAGCGAGCCTATCATATAACAAGTTTCCACACACATTTCTTAAGTCACTTCTGTGAATTTGTAGAGTTCCATCCCCCACGGGCCAAGCCTTAACCATAATGAGATGCATTTAGCCTCCATAATCCTTCCCAGAAAGGACATTTTTAAAAACACTTGCACAAGGTAAAAATTTGCACAATATTTTGAAGGTAATATTATTTACTTTGAAAACTGTACTCTTAACATTATTTGTCCCTAACGAAAGCTGAAGTTGTGTCTATTAACATTATTTGCCTGATAGAAAAAATGGTCTCTTTGTACGCTTATCCTTCAATACTTGAAAATGTTATTGCGAGCAACTGGAAGTCTTAATTTACATAGAGTAGTGTTATAGCCAAAATTTCATATTTGAATTTTAATACATACTTGCTATTTATTAGCTGTTCTTATGATTGTGTGGGTTGAATTTTTGAGAGGTGAGTACATTCATGACCGCTGCGCTATTGACCGTAAAATCCTTCTCTCTTGCTCTTCCCCATTAAGCATTAGATGTGTGTTTAAGGATCCCACTGGGTGTCTCCAACTGTTTGTACCTCAAGCACTTCAAACCTTTCATGTCCTTTTATTTGGTCCCTATACCCTCCTCTGTGTTTCCTGTTCAGTGGCGAGCACCATCTCCCAAGTGAGGGTCTCTGGTCATCTTAGAACCTTCCTTTCACTCATCTCATCGACTAACTGGTCATTACTCCTTGCTGATTCTGCCTCTTCTTTTCATTCCAGCCTGGACTCAGGCACAATAATTTCTGAGCTTGTTCAGAACAAAAATTTCTCTTGGGGCTTCCCTGTCAATCTTTCCTTTTCTGCACTAGATCTTTCTGAATATGCTGTCAAACATGCATAGAGGACTTATCTGTCCGTGAACTTTTGCTTACCACCCCACCCTGCATTAGGAACAAGTCCTTCCAACCTGACACAGCCTACTTTTTCTTCTCTTCTACCCATCAACTCCCGGGCCCCTGTCCATATGTAGCTTTAGCCACTACTTAAAAGTCCTTTGAATATGCCCTGTATCTTCACACTGAACTTTTCTCTGTGTTGATCCTCATTGCTTAAGACTCATTTTCTCTCTTCTCACCTTCCCTCTTCCAGAATTATTGGGTTGTCGGAAAAGTCGTGACGTGTCTTTCATTGCAAAAATGCACCATGACGTTTCCAGCAACCCAGTAAAATTCATTTCTCCTGTGTCCTCTGCTGGCACTATTTTATTCTCTTTTACTATCACGGGATAGTATAGTGTATTATGGCTAATTGTCTGTGTGAGGCTTTCTCGGGCTAAATTATGCATTTCTCAAGAGAGAGACTTGTTTCCCTTTCTTGTGGAACAAAAAGTAACTGTTCAGTGTTTAGAATTCATTAAGTGACCCATTAATACGTGTTGAAGTAGGGATGTGTTGAATGTATTCAAATTCTCATAGGTGCAGTTACTGTGCCAAATAGATGAAGAAGTAACAATTAGAGTAAAGCAAAAGAGTTCCTTTGCCAATTTTTTTTTTAAGGACTAGGGATTTAAATTTATGATAAATGTGGGAATTCCTCTGAAAAGTCTGAGAATAATGAATGCCAGTATCACCTGCAAATTACTATTTGTTCAAGTTAGACCCAACAAGTTATTGTCTCTGGTGTTTTATTAATCCATTGTATTGAGGATTTTAAAGTAAGGACCACTTTAAAATCCTCCAGGTTGGCACTGAATTTATTGGTTAGCATATATTCATTGGTTAACGTGAATTGATTGGCAATAATGTAAATATACTAAGTTAAATGCATACCAAAAAAAGTGTCATCTTTGTCTTCTACTTGTCGCAGTAGAGGTGGAAAGAAACACTAGTACACATGGAATAGTTAAGTGCTAGACTTCATTATAAGACACATTGTAATAAATAAGAAAGGAACATGAAGCAAGAAAACACCATCATGACCTGGAGAAGTAATGCAATGTATAATAAGCTTTTCATTAAGAAAAGCTTATTTCACTGGTTCTTGCAAAATAGATAAGGATTACATGAGGGAAAACGAGGAATTCCATATGAAAAAAAAATAACAGGGATCAATGAACAAGAAGATTGCTATGTTTTACAAGCCAAACTTCAGTTGATAATTTTAGCAAATATCTATATTAACTTTTGTGAATTTGAAGTTATTTCTTTTTTTTTTGTTTTTTCCCCTCACAGGTGGATCTGATATTGAATATCTAGACTTCTACAAGCCTGTCGTGTGGTTTTGGATCCTTGTAGGACTTGCTTATTTTGCTGCTGTCCTGAGCATGATTGGAGACTGGCTCCGAGTGATATCAAAAAAGACGAAGGAAGAGGTGAGAGCTAAGACGTTTGCAAAAACACTTCTGTTTCGCTAATGCAGTAAAGGTTTCTAAAAAATCTTTTTTTACATATTTTTATATTTTTAAACATATTTTATATATTTTAAAACATTTAAGTGTTATATTTTTAAACTTATATATTCGTATATATTTTAAAACATTTAAGTGTTACTCAAATTTTTTAATATTTATGTTTGGTGTGAATTTGCTGTGTGAGGCGATCATGAGTTATATATAATTCATTCAGTTAACAAATAGTAAATACTTCCATATGCCGATGCCGTCTAGGGGCCGAGGGTAATTTGGAATGAAAGCAGATGTAATTAAAAATGTTTCCTTTAGTATTTCTTTTTCTTTTGTTTCATTTCTCTTTTTCCTCAAAGGAACAAAGTGAATTTTATGCCGTAACAGAAAATACAATAGAAAATATGTGTCGAGATACCAGTGGCGTGAAATAGTGAACATACTATGTAATATTGAGTTGTTCTTACTGTAGTCAATTATTTCCTTTTCTCCTATGTCTGCATAAATATGTGCAAGTGTACATGTATATACACACACGTGTATACACACATATGTGTATACCCCACAGCTGTATGCATTATGGTCAGTGTCCTTATATACAGATCTCAGCTGCTCAAAAGATATCCTTTGACCTATTTTGAACAACTTTATATATAGAAATGAACATTAGAATTTTGACCCAGGACATTTTGGAAAATTTGAAATTTAAATCCTTATTGTGAAATTTTATAGTTTGAAAATTAAGTTTTGATTTTGTATTTTCAAGTCTAGAAGTACTATTAGTTTGAGTGTGACAGAGTAATGTTTTGTTATGAAGTCTGTGTTTTTTGCTTCTGGATCTAAGCCAACTTTACTAATTTTTTCAGAAAACTATAAAACCTATAAAACCTGCATGTGTAGTACCCACTGTCTTCCTTTAATTATCCCCTTCATTTCATTATCTGGTGTTCATAGGCCAAGAGACACCAGTGTCAAAATCTTTGATCGATACAACAAGGAGCATTCCTTAAATATATACCCAAAAGATATAGAATAAGATAGGAAATTATAAAATTAATTTCTCTCTACAAATATTTTATTTGAAATTCAAGTCATACAATTTCATATTGATGCCCAAGGTGCCTATGGTAATTAGAAAGAGTGTAAGTTATCCAACACTTCTCTTCATGCATACCATATTTTTCAATTGGGAATTCATGTATTCCGTCTGTATGCATTAATCTGTATCTTAGTTGCACCAAAACCCAAAATCTTTTTGTTATACACAAATCAGCAAGACAATATAAATTAAATCATGTGGAAAGTTCTGCTTTAAACAGGACCCCACTGATTTGCCTCAAGCTTAGGATCATTTTATGTGTGTACGTGTGTGTGTGTACGTGTGTGTGTGTGTG